GTTCAATTAGATTAGAAGGTAGTTTTATATAATATATCATGTTCATTTAGATTAGAAGGTAGTTTTATATAATATATCATGTTCATTTAGATTAGAAGGTAGTTTTATATAATATATCATGTTCGTTTAGGGTTAGAAGGTAGTTTTAAATAATATATCATGTTCATTTAGGTTAGAAGGTAGTTTTATATAATATATCATGTTCGTTTAGATTAGAAGGTAGTTTTATATAATATATCATGTTCATTTAGATTAGAAGGTAGTTTTATATAATATATCATGTTCATTTAGATTAGAAGGTAGTTTTAAATAACATATCATGTTCGTTTAGATTAGAAGGTAGTTTTATATAATATATCATGTTCGTTTAGATTAGAAGGTAGTTTTAAATAATATATCATTTTCATGTATATTAGAAGGTAGTTTTATATAATATATCATGTTCATTTAGATTAGAAGGTAGTTTTAAATAATATATCATGTTCATTTAGATTAGAAGGTAGTTTTATATAATATATCATGTTCATTTAGATTAGAAGGTAGTTTATAACATATCATGTTCATTTAGATTAGAAGGTAGTTTTAAATAATATATCATGTTCATTTAGATTAGAAGGTAGTTTTATATGACATATCATGTTCAATTAGATTAGAAGGTAGTTTTATATAATATATCATGTTCATTTAGGTTAGAAGGTAGTTTTATATAACATATCATGTTCAATTAGATTAGAAGGTAGTTTTATATAATATATCATGTTCATTTAGAGTAGCAGGTAGTTTTATATAACATATCATGTTCATTTAGATTAGAAGGTAGTTTTATATAATATATAAAACTATATATTATTATTTATAATATATTTTATATAAAACCTCTACTTAAAATACAATAGAAGTAAGTACTGTCACTACCTTATATTTGCACAACAAACACGTCCAGATGCACGTCCAATAACTGTCAATTTAAATCCCATTGTGTTCATTCCAGAATGAAAGATGCATAATTATGCTTATTTCATAATTGTTTATGGTAGTTGCGAGATTCAAATTTTCCGGACCCGAACAGAAATTGATCACTGAAGACAATATATAAAATATAAAGTTTTCTC